TATTTTGATTTGTATCCTGTGAATTGTCCAATCTTGAGTTCCTTCACTCTCCAGATATCTCTCCTGAGATACTTCACCTCATCTTTTCTCCCTTCCTTCACCCTTTACTTTTGCATCCTTGACAAAGGAATGAAATTTCAACTCTGTTACTAACTTGCTTGATGACGGTGGAAAGGCCTTTGACCCTTCAGTTGCTGAGGTTTCTGTGTTGTGAGTGGTGGAAACTCACAAAGCCGTCTGTAGCCTAAGTAAAGAAAGTGCACCTATTGACTAAATAGTTCAGGGAGAGTAGCCTTCAAGTAATACTAGGTCCAAGACAATCACCTGGACTTTGCTTTCCCAGTTTTTATGTTTATGAGCTCTCACAGTTATTGTTTTTGAAGACAAAATAACTCAGTGCTTAAGAACTCAAGTCCTGAATTGATACACACGAATTGTGGTCTGGATAGTCATTTAGTCTCTGGGAGACCTTACACACATGGCATTATTTTTCCGAGTCTTAGTTTACTTATCTTGAAAATAAGGTGAAGAAGAACATTGAGGTGAAGGTGGTGTCAAGTTCCCAATGGGAGAGAGGACCTTTATGTCTTGTTACTAGGAGATCCTTCATGCTTATATATCGGGCTGTGGGACCAAGTGGAGGTTTAGCACAAAAAAGTTGTGGATGAATAGCTGTCTCAGGTCTGTGGAGCGTCTTTGTCTTATTTCTGGCACCCCTAATGGTATGAACTTGGTCCCTTTTGTTCCTCCCCAGTTTTGGAGCTCAGAGGAGAGTCTTCAAAATACTCAGAGCCGGCGAGCTCTGGTGGTCTAGTGGCAGGAAACTGCGCTGCAATCCTAGAGGTGCACGGTTCAAATCCACCAGATGCTCTGCTGAAGAAGGAGGAACAATCACCTCCTATACCAGTCAGATCCAATTTGATGGTACACACAATTAAATAAATAAATAAAAAAATACTCAGAGCCTGTTTGGCACCTCTGGTCTCCATGTCTTTGGTGGGTAGAGTCCTGGCATGCAATCTTCCAATCCTTTCAATTTCCCTTCACCATGCTTATCCTCTTGGCCTTATGTAGACATAATGCTACCCAAACAGGGCTGCCCCTGGGCCTTCATGTTGCCTTAGCTATGCAAGGGACAAAGCAAATAGACAGGGGAGCTGTTGTGGGAGGCTGTTGCTTCTGGCACACTTGGACCCATTTATCTGACCTTGGTCATATCTGGCCATTTTTAGGAAGTGCCTATGTAATGCTTGCTGTGTGCTCAGGTTCGGCATATATTTGCACCTGGGACCAGTTGGAGATTTTTCTCCATCAAATCTGATCTAAACTCTGATGCAGGACATCAGGACCCATTGGTGTCTGTCTGAGATGCCATTTGAGATTGTCCAGATGTCCTGTTGATCATGTGTGGCTTTTATGTGAATTTGTTTGTTGTCTGGGCTGGGCTTTGTCTGGGAATCAAGGTCCCTCTGAGAATTTTCTAAATGGTTCTTTTAATTTTGTATGAGTCAGGTCAAAGGTAGTGGTAGTCTGGTCATACCTGGACCATGTCTGGGTAACACTGGGCCATGTTTAAGGCATTAATGGAATCATGTTGAAATTATTTCTAGAGCTTTCATGCAGAGTATTCTGAAGAAAAGTCAAACATATTTGGTCCATGTCAGAGAATGTTGTGTCAAATTATAGACATGTTACCTATATCTGTTATATTGTGGCTTTATGGAGGCATCTTAACATGTACCTGGGCCATGCCAACAATCTAAAGTCAATGTTAAAGTATGATGCTAAGATCATGTTATAGACATGTGAGTATGTGTCAGGTATATTCTTTTCACATTGGATTGTGTTGGTTTTGTGTCAGATGTCTTAAGCTCTTATCAGGAGATGTCACAGAGAATGAGGTTGTACTAAAGTGCTCTTCCTTGCTTTATGTCATGGGCTTCATAGGATGTTCTGCTGTGCTCGTTGTTCCAAAAATATTGGAGGTTTAGGAGATATATATAGGCATGTTGGGATGTGCTGTGTCATGATAGGCGTGTGTTTAACATACTGCTGTGAACTTGAGGACTCTGCTTTTCCTCTCCTTTTGCTACTGCTGTGTCTTCTGGTGCCCCCCCCCCTTACCTTCTCCATGCTTCTTCTGCTCTTCAGTCCATTCTTGCTATGCTCAGCTTGGAGGGTGTGAAGATTCTTGTTAAGAGGCCCACATCCCCACCTGGAATTCCTACCTTATTCTTTACCTTGACTTCTGATTACATTCAATTATGCCAGCTGCCATTGCACCCAAGGACGTGATCTTCTACAGTATGCTCAAGCCTTGGCTGGGTGAGTAATGGCAGGTGAGGGGGACTGGGGACAATGTTGGGGTTGAGGGGAATGTGCCGTCTTTGCTAACTGCCAACAACTGTACCTACTAGGAGATGGGCTCCTGGTGAGTAATGGCAACAAGTGGAACCGCCACCGTCGCATGCTGACACCTGCCTTCCACTTCAACATCCTAAAGCCATACATGAAGATTTTCAATGAGAGTGCCAACATCATGCATGTGAGTCCCTAAGGGAGCTTTGTGGAGAGTGAAGATACATGTATCTAGTTGGAGTCTGGGCTCTGATGGGAAACTTTGGGCTCATCACACTTCCATTCTAAGCTTCAGTTAACTCACCCATAGATTGAGAATAATGGTGTTCATGTTGAAGGGTGTTCAATATGACAGAATGGAATCATGCCCTTGGTATATAGTAGGCACAAAGAAGGCATTATTAGTTTCTATGTTTGCTGAAGCATTGGAATCCTGAGATAATGTTTGTGGAAATAATGGTGAAAGTTGTACATTAGACTTTGCTGAGTAGCAAACTACTTTGAAACTCATTGGCTTAAAACAATTAGCATTTCCTTTTATTCATGGATCTATTAGCCACCTAGGCATTCTTCTAGTCTTGACTGATCTCCACTGTGCATCTGTGCTCAGGTGTGGATCATAAAGGCAGCTCTGTGGATCCAGTCTGAGCTCTTTTGCATGTCAGGAGCTTGGATGACTGCAGTGATGACTATTGATGATCTGCATGAGCAACAACCCTGTGTAGTTTCTTAACCTTTCGCTGTCAACTCAAGTTTGTTTACATGGTGAACATATGGTTCTAAGAAAGTGATAGTCAGCTGCAATGCTTCTTGACATCCAGATTTGGAATGTTCATACCATAACTTCCACTGTGTTTTATTAACTACGAGTGACTTCCGGTGGCATGTCCTAACACCATTCCAGTACCAAAAGTTGAAGGAATAGGCTCCATATACTAATGTTATTTGCTGCAAAGTCATATTGAAAATGGTATAATGATAAGAAGAGGTAACTAATAGACAATATGTGCCTGATATTTGCAGCTAATAAGATAGCTTATTACTGTATTTGTGAAATGTGCCAGAGACTATTATTCATGGCACAGAAGACAGTATGACTTAGATGCTTTCCTAGCTACTCAAATCCCATGGGAGTGACACAGGTGAACATAGATGAATAGAGTATATTTTAATAAAGAGAAAGAACATTAAAGCTGTAGAATGTGCAAATGTTACAGTCACCATAAACAGGGTAGATTTACGTCCAAGAGAAGACATCTCTTAATCCTTAGTTTGCTCATTGTAAACACAAGTCTGAAATTTATCCAATAAGGGCCTTGAATTCTTGGTTTTTCTGTTTACTGCTATTTAAATGAAAGTTTACAAAATATTCGGTTTTTTATTCACTCATTGGTATCCCTCTTGCCCCCTTTTCCCCCAATCTGTCATGGATGTCCTGTTCTGGATTTTTAATTGCATTAACCATGTCTACTTTTCCATTCATTTCCTCATCCACTCTCTGTTCACCTATTTCAATGCAATGCTCATTATTTGCTCATTCTTTTTCTGCTCTTCTACTCTTCTTCATAATCCTTTTCTTTTTATAACCATGGTCTTACACAGTATTTGTCCTATTGTGACAGAGGTATTTCCCTCAGCTCAGTGTTCTCTAGACTCATCCATGTGTATAGTGTTTCATGAGTTCATCACTGTTTTCTAATGCCATTTAACTCTCCACTGTGTAAATGTCCCAAGTTTTCCTCTCTATTAATTTGTTAATGAGTTCTTGATCTACTTTCCTCTCTTTGCTGTTGTGAACAATGCTACAATAAAGAAAGATATGCATTCACCCGTTTGTGATGCAGATCTAATTTCTTTAAGGTATATTCCTAATAGTGGAATAGCTGGGTCAAATGATATTTCTACTTTCCACCATCTAAAGAAATGTCAGACTCCCATTGATAGTGGATTTATCATTTTACAATCCCAACAGCAATAGAAGGGATTCCAATCTCTCCATATACTCACCAGCATTTGTTGTTCGCCGGCTTAGTAAAATTTTGGAAATTTTACAATTTACAGCAATGGTTAAATTTTGCCATTGTTGCTGATGAGATTGTATTTCATAGCAAAAAATAAGGCCCTAGGAACAGATGGTATGCCAATTGACATATTTCAGCTAACAGATGCTGCTCTGGACATGCTCACCAAGTTGTGCCAAGAAATCTGGAGAATAACCACTTGGCCAACTGACTGGAAGAGATCTATATTTGTTCCCATCCCAAAGAAGGGTGACCCAACAGAATATGGAAACTTAGAACAATATCATTG